GCTCGTCTTCTTGATGGTCATTGTCGCGAGCTCGTTGTAGGCGTAGAACCACAAGCCCGACGCGATCATGTTCCACAAGACGATCTTGCTCGTCTTGCAGAGCTGGAGGAAGGCACCGAATTTCTTCCCCTCGGTGGCGAACATGAGCACGAGGCAGAAGAGGAACGAGTTGATCATCGTGATCGCAAACTGGTTCCCCACGCCGCCCAAGCGGTCTTTCAGGCCCTCCGTGTCCATCAGCTTCTTGTTCTCGTTCGCCTTGAACGCGGCGAAGACGTTGGCGAGGGCCGCCGTGAAGAGCGCGGCCCATGCGAAGTCCAGCTCGCCCAGGGACGCCAGGACCACGCCGCCGATCACCGGAATCAAGCACAACCACTTGGCGGTGCTCACCTTGGAACCGTAGAACAGGGTCCCGATCAGCGCCGCAAAAGCCGGCTCCGCGGCCTTCACGATCTGGCCGAAGGAGACGGCCCCGGCCGAGAGGGCGAACACGGAGAAGGCGTGGGCGGCCGCGGAGCAGAAGCCCACGGGCAGCGTCGCCTTCCAGTCGTCGAAGGTGATCTTCGGGAGGGCGCGGGCGTCCGGGTAGCCCCATAGGAAGAGCGCCCAGACGCAGCCGAAGCCGAGCTGCATGGTGGCGATGGACATGGGGAAGCCGGTCGCGCCCCCCGCGGCGTTCAGGGCGAGCTTGTTGGTGATGTTGTAGTAGTAGTTGCCCAGGTACCAGAAGAGAAAGTAGGCGAGCAGGACGAAGTCCACCCCCTTCCTCTGCGGGGGTGAGCGAGGGCGCAGCAGAGGCGTAGTCGCCGCCGTCGTGGGGCCGTCGTCGTGGCCGTCGCCGCCGCCACCGTCGTCGCCGTTTTAGGTCACCTCCTCCTCCCTCATCCGCATTCACCTCTTCGAAACCTCCGTCTCCTTCCCCCCATCGCTTCATCCTCAATGTTATCCGTCCTTATCGTCCCGCGGCCTCCGCTTGCTCCTCGCTCCTCATGGCTCCTCGACGCTGCTCCTACTCCTTGCCCGTCTTGCCCCTCCCCTTCCTCCTGCTCCTCTTATTCCTCATCATCATCAGCATCATAAGCATCATCAGCATCATCATCATCATCATCATCACCAGCATCACGATAATCATCATCATTATCATAATCATCATCACCATCATCATCATGATCATCAACATCAACATCACCATCACCACCATCATCATCATCATCGCCGTCATCATCATCACCAGCATCACCATAATCAGCATCATCACCATCATGACCATAATCATCATCATCATCACCATCACCATCGACATCACCATCACCATCACCATCACCATCACCATCACCATCACCATCACCATGACCATCACCATCACCATCACCATCAGCATCACCATCATCATCATCACCATCATCATCATCATCACCAGCATCACCATAATCAGCATCATCACCATCATGACCATATTCATCATCATCGCCATCACCATCAACATCACCATCACCATCACCATCACCATCACCATCACCGTCACCATCACCAGCACCATCACCATCACCATCACCATCACCATCACCATCACCATCATCATCATCATCATCATCATCATCATCATCATCATCATCATCATCATCATCATCATCATCGCCGTCATCATCATCGCCGTCATCATCATCATCATCATCATCATCATCATCATCACCATCATCATCATCATTATCCTGCGTCCGTCCTCCCTCCTTATCCTCCTCCTCCTCCCGCCTGATCAGCCACGTCATGTTCCTCCCGCGTCTTCCTTCTTCCACCATGTCCTGCTTTTCGCAGCCACGCCCGCGGCTGGAACGAAGTCGCAGCCCAGCCAAATCGGGCGTGTTCCGACGTGGCAGAAGCCCTGCTGGGCTTAGAGCTGACTGTGTCCTTTGCTGCTGTGCCCGATTCGTCACTGTCTGGGCCAAAACTCCCCTGTTGTCCGAGGAAGCACCCATTGTCCCAGCGGTGCGGGCGGCGCTTGCGCGGCAGGGTGGGCGTAGGCTGTACGACGCTGCACGCAGAGAGCCCGAGAGTCTTGCAGGCGTGGCCCAGGCGGGCGCGCAGACGCGGCGTCGTGCCCTCTGCAGCTGGCCCGCTCGTCGAAACTCGGCTTATCGGGCCGCTTGGGCGACAGAGGCCTCGCACCTCTCGTGGAGGTCCTGCCGCTGCACCGCACCGTGACTGCCCCCCCGCCCTCCATCAGATGGGCGCCCTCTAGGGGAAATACACTGCAGCGGGTTCTGGAAGCCCTGAACCCCAAAACGACGGTGGACAAACCTCCCTTGAATAAACCTCCCCATAGTAAAAACGGCCCAGGACCGAAATCGACGGACCTGGACCCGCAAAAATGACGGCCGCGACGCCCTCTCGCGAACCGAAAACGGCCAATTCCTTAATCGACGCGTCAGGGCAGGAGGTCCATCAACCTCCGGCCAAAAACGTTGGCATCTCTTTTGGGGGCGCACCTCTTGCGCCCGCCGGCCTCTCCGCCTGCGGAGGCGGCCCCGCCATTGCTTCCGCGGGCCTCTGCCGCCCGCCCACCCGCCCTCCGCCGAGGATGAGGCAGCAGCTCCTTCGACCCACGAAGGCGAAGCCCTTGCAGAAGCGCCCCCGCGTGGCGCTTCCACCAGACCTGGATTCCGATTGAAAGCCACCGCAAGAGGATTCCTATAGGAAGCCTGTACAAAAAGGATTCCGATTGCAAGCCTCTACGAAAGGATTCCCACTGAAAGCCTCTACAAAAGGGTTCCCATTGAAAGCCTCTACAAAAGGATTCCTATCGAAAGCCTCTACACAAGGATTGCTGTATTTCCCTACCTAGGCTCTGCCTAGAAGGGTTCTTACTCTCTTTGCTTAAAGGGGCCGGGCAGTGCAACTCGCCCCGGGGGGGTCCCCCGGCATCCGCCCCGCGGTTCCCCCAGTTACGTCCCCTTAGCTTAGCGTGGCTTATCTCATCGTAGTTTAGCTTATTTCATCTTAGCTTAGCTTAGCTTCATCTTAGCTCAGGTTTATCTTAGCTTAGCGTACCTTAATCTTAGCTTCGCTGAGCTTTAGCATAGCAGAGCAGAGCACAGCATAGCGTAGCATAGCATTAGCATGGATGTAGTTCCCTACCTAGGCTCTGCCTAGAGGGTTAGCTTAGCTTAGCTTAGCTTAGCTTAGCTTAGCATAGCGCAGCGCTGCATTAGCATAGCATATCATCGCATACCATAGCCAAGCATAGCACAGTAAAGCATAGCATAGCGCAGCATAGCATACAATATCATAGTATAGCATAGCGCAGCTTAGCATAACATAGCTTAGCATAGCACAGCGCAGCATGACATAGCATAGCATAGCTTAGCAACGCATAGCATAGCGCAGTATAGCATAGCATAGCATAGCATAGCATATCATAGCATAGCATAGCGCAGCATAGCATGGCATAACATAGCATAACATAGCATAGCAACTAATGCTGCTTTCCTAGGGGCTCCAACTTCTAGGTAAGGTCGCACTGGGGTAATGAAAGCCTGCGTCGCGCACGCGCGTCGTTCCGGGTCCTGACCGTAAAAAATCTCCGGCCCGCCCGCGGAGCGCCTGCCCGCGGCGTGCCCGCTGTGCGCCCGGGAGGCCGCGCGGCTGCCAGCACTTTGTCGAGCGATGTGACGCGCCAGGGGTGCCCGCCAAGGGGGCCGTGCAGGCGGCGTCGGGCTGGCCGCGGCGGCGGGCTCTTGCCGTGGGCGCTGCGGGACGCTGCCTGCGGCCTGGTGCCAAGGTGCGGCCGACAGGCGCGGCTGCTTCGACCTTCGCGCGCGCGTGCTGGGGCAGCGCGATGGAACGAGCGGACGAACGGGCCACCACATCGGACAGCTGTCCGGGCCTGCCAAGACCAGGTGGGTGAGGCTAGACATCCAGACATGAATAGGAACTGCGAGACATGCAAAAAATGAATCTGCGCAACATACCTTTCTTGCCATCGAGCCACTCAGGTCATGATAATGATAGGATCTGGGATTTAGAAAAACGGCCCCGGATTTAGGATATCCGTTTTTGAATTTAGTAACCGGCTTTTGCGTTTACTACATGGTAGTTGCCTTGTTCTGACTAGGCGGCGCAATTTGAACTAACCCGCTTCTCGCTTCAGCAAACCATCGCTTACCCCACACGCTGCTTCAAGACTGCGCGCTTATTCATTGCCACGACCTGGGTTAGCCGGTGATGTTTGGCATGCTGAGATAGGAGGATGGAGTCGGCATCGGCCAAGATGGGGGTGTCCAAGAGGGGGGGGTGCAAATCATGACCGGCGGCATCTGCGCGGCCCAGCGGGGGGGCCAGGGACGCAATGAAATGAGAAAGAGGCGCCATGAAATCTGGGGAAATATCATGGCCCCCGCCATGATATCCCCCCCCCTTCTGGTCATCCCCCCCTTCTTTGCCGCCCCCGATGCAGGGGGAAGGCAGGCCCGCGAGCAGCCCCCCCCCGCGGCCGTGGCCTCAGGGCCACCGGCTGCCTGCAGGTGCCTCCCGGCCCCAGAGGCCCTCCATTCGGGACTCGAAGGTCCCCTCTCGAGGCCCTCCTGCGCCTGCAGGCCCTCCCTGCCACCTGCAGGCGCCTTCCCAGACATCCGGCGTCTCGAAAAAATCGAGACGAAGGTTTTTCGTCGTTTTCGGCCTCTCGGGGCCCTCGCCGGGCCTCGGGACCGTCAAAAAACGGCTCGGGATGAAAAACCGGCCCCGGGGAAGTGGTCGGGAGGTCGGGGGCCAACGTCTCGAAAACATCGAGATGTCTGGGTTCGCGGCCTATAGACGTCCCTCCATGCCCGCTGCCTGCAGGCCTCCGCGCTCTCTGCGGCTTCTGCAAGGACAGGCCTCCGAGCGGGCGATGTCCGCCAGGCTTCCCTGGCGGCGAGGGCCCGCGGGGCCTGCAGGAAGAGGCGCGCGCAGGAGGAGCGCCTCCTATAGGCAGGAAACTCACGCAGTGGGTCACACTCTGTGGGTCCTCCGGCCCCTCCTCCACATCGCCGCCTCCTCCTGGTCCATGCCCCCCTCTTCCCGCATCCCTTCTCTTCGATACCCTCCATCCGTCCTTTTGTCCGTCCATCTCTCCACGCACCCCCATAGATTCATCGTTCTGCACCTCCTGCTCCTGCCTCTTTTCTCGCCTCGTCCTCGCTTCTCCCTGGTCCCTCTTCGTCCCCCCTCCGCTTCATGGTTCTTCCTCACCGTCCTCGCCATTCCTCCCTCGGTCTCAACGTTCCCTCGGCACACGCTGGCCCGTCCTTCAACCGTGCGCGCCTCGCGTCGCACGCGGCCTCCCTCGCGAACTCCGCTGCGGCACCCACTCTCGACAGAGCCCCATAAACCTCACACACACACCAGCTGGCACTGTGACAGAAACCCGCCCTGCCGCTCACGCCGTGAGCCGCGGCTGGGACGCACAGGAGGAGGACGAGCACGAGGACGAGGGAGGAGGGCGAGCGGGCAGCCGGGCTGCCAGGCACGGCTGCCACGAGCACCGCCCATGCTGCAGACCTCTCGGCGAGGGGCCGGCAGTGCACGGCGCACACACGCGCGGGGAGCGCCCCGTGCCCCGCACGCGGCCTGCACCTCGCACCCGCCCTCCCAGATTGGGGGGCCTGGGAATGGGCACCAGCACCAACACAAGGGGGCTGCCTCCAGAGGGGGAAGACGATCCGAAATTCCGGTGCTGGTGGTAACATTTCGCCCACTATTGGACGCCAGAGCATTACCACCATCACCGAGATCGGGATCGTCCTCCCTCGGTGGAGGCACACCGCCGAAATTAGCGTTGGTGTCAACCTCTATGGACGAGCGTGTTCCACTACTCGCAAAGTCCCTACTCGCAAATGGCCTGGATCCGCCGCGGGGGATCCACGACAGATCACATCAGAGCCGGCATGTGTCTTTCGAGCGCTTGCAAGTAGGCACTCTGCGAGTACAACGCGGGCGCGGCCGCAAGAAACCCAACCCTGAGAACCCGTGCGCGAGGCGCACCTGAGGGGAAACCCGGAGCACCCTGAACGTAGCAGCTCCTGCAACGGCCGCGGGAAGTCACCGCGCAGCGCGAGGAACAAAGTGAACTCCACCCTCCCCCTCAGAAATCGTGGGGGGTAGGGGTAGGGTTCGCATGTGGCCCCCTAGCGAAGAAACTCAGGATACCCTGACGAACAGCAGATGGCTTCTTGATGCGGGCCCCCCCTGTCTTGGAGCGCGCGCGCTGACTCCAGGCCTGCAGCTGCCCCGAGGGCGCGAGGCCCACCAGAGGTAGCGCCGCGGCAGCGAGCTGCCGGCGCGCAGGCTGCCGCCGCGGGGGCGCGCGCGGAGAAGCGCCAATAGGGAGGGCGCTCGGGCCCTGCCCGGCGCGTCCTCGGAGGCGGGGCAGGGCACGGGCGCCTGCTCAGGGGCGGGGGCGGGCCTGCTCAGGGGCACGGGCGCCCTCTTCGACGCGCCCAAAACATTCCGCCTCCCGCCCCCTGGCCAAGCAAAAAAACAAAGAAACCAACAAACGGCGACGGCGACGCTGCCGAGTCGTCCAGGATAGTTATCTGACGGACCAAGAGCCCCGCGAGGGCCCCCGTGCACCGACAACGGCAAACAACCTCCGCCCGGATCCCGGAAACGACGCACCACCTCCGCCCCGATGTTGCCCACCTGCTGAAGCTGCGGGCTTGTGGTCGCGGAGCCGGCGGGAGGGGGGCCTCCCCACTGGGGCCCGCTCAGATGGGGTCGGAGGCTGGCGCCGCATCGCCGACGCACCGGCGACGTCGGCGCGGAGGAACTCGGGCTCCACACCGAGCCGCATCGTCGACGCATCGCCGATGCGGGAGAGGCCCTTCGACTCCGTGCGGTCGGCAGGCGGCCCGTAGGGGGGGGCGCGGGCGCTGAGCAGGGACCGACCGTCCCGGCATTCCTACAGTCCTACCACGAAACATTCTTAGAACCAAGACATTCCCTAAGAACCCAAACGATGTTCTCAGAACAGACGCCCGATGTGATGAGACAAAACAGACAGACTCCGCCCGAAATGTTCCAAGAACATCATGTGGGAGCCACAAAAAGGTTCTTAGAACATTGTTTGGTAGGGCTATATAGGCGAGCCAGGACGCTTCGCCACTGCTCGAGGGCGGCGGCTCCTCTGCGGGGAGGGCAGCGAGAGGCCGGCGGCGGCGGGCACGCCCGAGCCGCGGGGGGGCCTCGCGGGGGGGGGGACGGCCAGGCTCTGAGGCCCTCCAGCCTCGCCCCTGCCCCTTCGACGGGCGCCACCTTCCCCCCTTCCCCCTTCCCTCCTCCCTCCTCCCTCCCTCCTCCCTCCTCCCTGCTCCCTCCTCCCTCCCCTCCCTCCCTCCTCCCTCCTCCCTCCTCCCCTCCCACCTCCCACCTTCCCCCTTCCCCCTTCCCTCCTCCCTCCTCCCCCCCGCTTCCCGTCGTCATTATGCTCTTATCGTAGCTGTAGCTGCTGGGTTCGCCGTCGTCGTCGTGGCAATTCACTGTCGTGGTGCTCGCACGCGTCGCCGACGCACTCGGCGTAGTAGTGGCGCGCGTGGTGTCGTGCGGGTGGTAGTCGTGGAGCTCTCCGTGGACGTCCCCCTCCCCCTCCCCCCCCCCCCCCGGACCTGGCGCCGGGGACCGTCTCCCCCGAGCACCGCAGCCTTCCACCCCGCCCCGCCATTCCCCAGCAGCAGAGCATCGCTTATAGGGGGCGGGCGGCGGGGTGCAACCGCGGGCGGCACCTCCGCAAAAAGGGGGGCGGCCCCTGGGGAAAAGGAGAGCCCGACGGAGGGGCGAACACGGAAAGGAGTAACGGGAGGAACAAAGAGGAGCCGGGGGAGGAGCCGGGGGAAGCAGCGGGCGCGACGGAGCGAGGCGGGCGGGCGAGAGGAGGGAACGGGCCGCACCCCCAGAACGACGACAGAGAAAAGGCCAAGGCAAAGGGGAAATCGGCTACACGCGAGAGTGACCCTGGGTAGGAGCGACCTTTGGTGCGCGGCTTTTGGGGGGCCGCGGGGAGGCCAAACACCAGCGCGCAAATTCGCAACTGCCGCCTCGCGTCCGGCGATCGGGGGACCCCATGTGGCCCGCACCCGAAGGTCACTGCGGCGACAGGTCACCCTTACGTCTAGTCGAGGAACGGAGGGGGTGACGAGGAAGAGGGGGGGGGCGCCGGCGGCGTCGGCGGCCTGGTGGTCAGGGAGTCGCTCCGTGCTGTTTCCCCTCAGGACCTCCCTCGCCCTCGACTGCATCGCGTGGCCCCCCTCCAAGAAGGTCCCGCCCCACGAGCCCTGGGCCTGGCCGAGGGCGCGGGCAAGCGCGCTGGCCCTGCTGCCACCCCTCTGCCTGTCGGGTGGCCACTGGGCTCGCTCGTGGCGGCGCGCGGACCCGCGCAGCGGGCGGGCCGAGCAGGGGCGGCGAGGAGGAAGGAGGCAGGCTTCGGTTGAGCTCCCATCGTACTTGAGGACCACATCCCAGCAGTGTCTTCGAGCACGCAGAAAAAAATTGTCGAAACGGTGTCGAGCGAGTGTCGCTTCCCAGGTCCCAGGGCCCGACACGCGGAAACCCTCGAGTTTCGGTCTGGCGCTCGAAACTCTCTCTGGTGGTCCAAGCGAAAGCAGGTTGGAACACCATGAAGGTAGGCCTGACCACCCGCCCGCAGTGGGCCCGCTCTTCGGCTCCTGGGGCGCAGGGGGTCGCCCCGTCTCCGCGGCTGCGAGCGCAGCACCTCTCTCGGGTCAGGGGGGGAGGCTGGGCCGTGCTCCGGGCGACCGCGCGCGGGCACCGTTAGATGCGGCAGCAAGGGCGTGCGAGTCGACGCGTTGAACGTCCCCTCGCCGCCTGCGCCTGTGACCTGCATGCAGTGGGGGTCGGGGGAGGCGGAGGACGGGAAGCATGCAGGGGTGCGCCCCTCCCGAGGAAGAAGGGCTTACTCAAGCGGGTCCACCCACCCGTGCGCGCAGAATGTGGCTGATTCAGGTGGCTAATGTACGCGCAGGCCTCCTATGATGGCCGATCGATGTCGATGGGCTGGCAGGGGTGAACAGCTGCTTGGCGGCCCACTGCGCCTTCCGGATCTCTGTCACTTCTACTTGGGCGACGGCACGTTGGGGGAAGGCGGCACCTTGTTCGTAGAGGTGCTGAGAGGTGCGCGTCCTCCTCTGGTGCTCCTGCGTGTAGCTGGTGTGACGGTCGAATTCTGATTGGATGAATCTGATTATGTCGGAGCGCCGGTCGTCGTCCACAGCCTCAGGGCACCCGTCGGGGATCACGAGGCCAGAAATGCCAAGGCTAGGCATAACGATGTCCTCCTTCGCATCTCCCTTCTCCGCTGGGGGGGGGGCCGTGAGAATGGGAATGCACAGGCGGCGGTGTGCACTGTAAGTGATCCCAAGCCAGCGTTCGATTTCGTTCTCCTCCTCTTTTCGTTCTCCTCCTCCTCCTCCTCCTCCTCCTCCTCCTCCTCCTCGTGCTCAAGGTTCTCCACCTCCGAGGCCCCGTCGCCGTCGGAGTGCTGGCATGCGAGGCCTTCGCGGTCGGCAAGCTGGCCAGCGCTGGGCTCGACGAGCTGGGAGCCCGCGCCAGGAGTGCAGCCTCTGGAAGCGAAAGCCTCCGACCCCCCCCCCCCACGCACGGGCGGCATCATGGGCTCAGGGGTTGCCGCGCCAGCACGTCACTCGGGTATACACGGAGAGTGGCCCCACAAGTCTCTGCCGTTCAGTGGCTGCTGCGCCTTCTCCGCTGCCTCGGCAGACTCGTAGCGAACCTATGCGTAGTTCTGCTCAGTGCTGGCGGCGATGGTGCGGCCGAGAAGAGAGAGAGAGAGAGAGAGCAAACCGCCTGCAGGCTCACTGGCCGAAGATCCCGGGGGGTTTTGTTACACATCTGACTGGTGCCGCCGACCAAGAGGGGGCAGAGGGCAACCCCGTGACTGAGACACGAGGGCGCCGGCCACCCCTCCGTCGGGGGCCGCGTGCTCTTCAGTCGGGCATGGGCGCCGACCACCCCCTCGTCAGGGGGCCCTGCCTCGTGGGCGCGCAGGGCTTTTTTCGGCCAACCCCCCTCCTGTCGGAGGCCCTGCGCCCGAGACTCACCGCGGGCGTCGCCCCCCCCCCCACCCCCCCTTCCCTTTTTGAGCAGGGACCGTTCGTCCTGGCATTCCTCTAGGCCTACCACGAGATCCGGCATTCCTTCTTGTAGGCCTGCGTACCACGAGATGTTCTCGGAGCCCCAAACAGAACATAGGCCCGAGGTGTTGAAACGGGCCAGGTCCCAGCCAGAAATGTCCTGCGGACGTGTCGTAGAAACCACACAACAGGTTCTTCAAGCATGCTTTGGCAGGCCTCTGGGCACGCCAGGGCGCCTCGCCACTGCTCGACCTCCCCCCCCCGTCGAGGGGGGGGGGACCCGCTCCCTGGGCCGACCCCTCCCGTCGGAGGCCCTGCATACTCTCTGCAGCCTCGCCGCGCGGGCGGCCCTGCTGCGCCTGCCAGGCTGCTGCCCCTCGGAGGCCGGCCTCTGAAGCCGCATGGATGAATGGATGAGGCGCGCCTCCGGGCATGCAGCGCCGTGGCGAGGCTCGGGTTGACCCACAAGGGGGTGCAGCGACGAGGGGCTGGTGCAATAGATCTGGTGCAAAAGATTTGCGGGGTTGCAATGCATTTGGGGCGTGCAATACATTCCTGGGCGCAAATGTATTGCAAGATTTTCGCGTGCAGTATCTTACTTGCAATACAATGCAATACAATTCTCTGGCGCATTACATTTGCAATACAGTTGCCCCAAATCTATTGCACCATCCCCTTTCAGCTGAACCCCCTTTTGGGTCACCCCGAGAGGCTGCCTGCCGAGCTGGTACTCCCCAGCGGCTGGTAGCGTTCCTCGTGCTTCTTGGATGTTGAGGTGCATCCTGGGGGAGGGCACCCTCGAATATTCACCGGTTTGTCCGGCGAAGGGCCAGTGGCTCGTGCTCTTGACCACTGCAGGCACCCTGCAAGGATGGTGGGGGCCTGCGCGACCACGTGCCGGCAGGGCGAGTGGACATGGCAAGGAGCAGCGAGGATGGCGATGTCGACGAGTGCTGGCGGCCGCTGCCGCCTCGGCCTCGCCGAGCAGCCCGTGCGGCGAATGGCCGCACGGAGCCCAGGCCTCGAGGGCCCGACCTCGATCTCGCAGCCGCTCGTCGCTGTGAAGCGGTCGTCGGTGCGGCACCTCTTGGCGATGCTCGCGGGCGAACCTCGCCTCATGGCTGGTGCCTCGCCTGGGCGCCGCCGCGAGAATGCGGGAGAGGGCCTGTCCCTCGCAGGAGTCTCTCGGGCGTGGCGCCTCCGCCTCCGCCTCCTCCGCCTCCTCCGCCTCCTCCGCCTCCTCCTCCTCCTCCTCCTCCTCCCACTCCCCTCCGAGGCCGTCAGGCCTCGTCCCTACCCCACCAACCATCATTCTCCCGAATCGATGAAAGCGGGGGCAGGGTTCGGAGGTCGACACGTGCTCGACGAATTCCGAACCCTACCCCCGCCGCCCATCGAGTTGCCTGCATCGTTAATCGGCGAGGGTAGGGTTCGGACTTCGCCGCCGATCGTCGCTACCTTCTTGACTCGCACTTGGATCCACCCCGACTTCGGATCCGCCGTACTTTGGGTGATTTCGTATCTTGCAAAACATGTCCCCATCATGTTCTGAGGCAGAATTATCTGGCGTACTTTTTCGCATCGTAAGGCATATATTTCGAGGATCACGGCAAGGCACTGGGGAAACCACAGAGCGTGAACATCGTTCAACTAACCGATCCCTGTCCCCACTGCAATGGCCTTGGTCCCAATGGCCGGCTTACCCACATACGTGTGGATATGTTGATGTCTGTTCCGTCGGGTTTCGCGGGGCCTGTTCCCACCTGGGCGGGTGACCTGGTGGGGCTGAGGCTGAGATACCATGGCCCGATGGGGACGGGAATCGGCCCGACGAAAGATTTTACCAAACACCAAACCATCAGCCAGGTAAAGCTGGTGTCCTGCGTTCGTGGCCGAAATGCAGGCTCCAGGACCGGGCAGAGGAGGAGAGGGCGAAGGCAGAGAGAGAGAGAGAGAAGGGCCCTCGTCCTCGTCCTGCTCCTCGCTCATCCCTTGGCTGTCTCTCAAAACGGCCAGGGCGTGTGTTGCTTGCGTTGTTGTTTTGCTTGTTTTCAGCTTTCGCGTTGGGAAACTGGAAGCGGTGAAAGGCTCGGATCCAAATCTGGGAAATTGCAAACACAAATGCAGCAAAAACCGGCAGCTCCGAGGGGGTGGGAATGTTCGAGCTCCGAGAACACTGGACATGCAATGGAAACGAATTGGGCACGGAAAGAAAGAGGCGCAGGCGCATGATCGGGCATGCGGATAGCTGAAACCGCCATAAACATTGCGCGCGAAACGGTAACCACATCAACATAAACCACAATTATTTGAATGCCCAATGGTAATACAATGGAATTGGCGCCTTTCATACAACGTGAAAGCTGAAAACAAACCAATCAACGCCCTAACGTAACGGTTGGACCAACGTCTAGAGACACACCTCCTCGTCCATCCTACCCGACCTTCGTCGTGTTCCCTCGTCCCCCTGTTCGTCCTCCTCCACCTCGCTCTCCTCCAGCTCCACACTTACTTCATATGAATACGAATCGCACTCTCCTCTCTCCCACGCAGATGGCCAGGGAATGGCCCGCCCCCGTTCCGCGTATCTTTCACACACACACAGGATTTCAAACATTTGTCTGTCCTGCGTGTTTCAATCGGACCATCTTCGGTGTCTCAACGCGGTGCTGTCGATGCAGCGTTGGCCTCATTTTAGGATCGGCGCTGCGTTCCCGTCGTTCACAATGGCGCTCTCGCCCAAGCGCGCGCCACTACTTCTCGGTTCCGGATTGTTCCTACTGGTTGTCGCCCCCCGCCTTTCTCACCCTCCACCTTCCCTGGTCCTCCTGCTCCTCCCGCTTCTTCTTATTCTTCTTCTCCAGCTTCTGCTGCTGGTCCCCGTCCTCCTCCTTCCTCATTCTCCTCGTATTCCCCTTGCTCATGCTCCTGCTCATCCGCGTCCTCCTCCTCCAACGTGCACAGCTGCCCTCTTCGGACTGCGCAGTCTACGATGGGGTCCTTTTTGGAATTCCAGGTCCGCTATGGCACGCGTCGGCAGATAGGGAAGGAATGAGTGGGAGAGGTAGGATGCCAGATATGTCACCTCTAGCTTGTCCTCGTCCTCTCTCCTCCCTCCTCCTACTCCTCCCCCGCCCTTGCCCTGCTCCTCGCCCCCCTCCTCGTTTTCGTGTCCCTCCTCAACCTCCCCCCTCCTCCTGTCCATACTCCGTCTCGTTGTGGATAATGCATGACGGCAGCTGTTGTTTTCCAAAATTGTTCAGCCTCCGCGGTCCCTCATCGGGCCTCGGGCGCGGACCCTGCCACAAAGACCACTGGCGGAACTCCCCATGTGACCACGAAGCCGGTGACGGGTGCGTCCACGGAAAAGGAAGGAGGAGAAAGGAGGAGAAAGGAGGAGGAGGAGGAGGAGGAAGAGGAGGAAGTGGAGGAGAAGGAGGAGGAGGACGACGACGACGAGGTGGAGGAGGCAGAGGAGGAGGAGGAGGGGGAGGAGGAGGGAGGAAGGAGGAGGGAGGATAGATGAGGAAGGAGAGGGTACGCGCGGCGCTGCGCATGCAAAACCAAGACCCACCACACAGGATGGTCGGAACATGTGCGTAAACTGCGTCACGTCTGCCTTTGGGCTCCCCGATGCACCCGGCGAGGGCCGCGCCCGGCGCCGCCCTGCCCGCCAGGCTGCCGGAGGGGGCAGCGCCCGCCAGGCCCGCGGGGGCCGCCCTCGGCGCCGCGAAGCTCCACGACGGCACCACAAGGAGACCGGCCCTCAGCTGGTGAGCCGTCGCGGCCGCCGCCCGCCGCCGCCGGCCGCCGCCGCCGCCGCCGTCGTCGTCGTCGTCCTTTCGTCCGTCGACCTCGTCGTGTGCATCGTCGTCGTCGTCGTCGTCGTCGCCGTCGTCGTCGTCGTCGTCGTCGTCGTCGTCTTCGTCTTCGCTGTCCGCATTCGTCGTCCTTTCCGGCGTCGTCCGCCTCCTCCACATCGTCGTCAATCCAGTTTTCTTGGTGGTGGTCGTCGTCGCAATCTCCGCGTGTCTCGCGGCTTTCCGGAGAAGCGCCACCTTGGGGGGCGCGGGGGAGCGCGAGGGGGGACCCTCGGCCCGAGGTGCCCCGACTATGGGGGGGCCCGAGTCGCCCGCGTGTGCCCCATAGACGCCGGCAGCGGGATTCCGCCGGCGGCACCTCGTCCTCCAAGCGACGCAGGTGTCCAGGACCCCGCCCCTCGACGGCCTGCCCCGCAAAATCAGCTCGGGGGTCCCGCGCATCCCCGGGCGCCACCCCGTTCTTCGACAGCGGGCTCGCCGCCCGCCCTCGGACGCCAGCCCGAAGTGACAGGCCACAGCGGGGGTGGGAGGACGACGAGGGGGGGAAGGTGAGGAAGAGAAGGGGCGGGGGGGACCGAGCGGACCGAGAGGGCGGTGCAACGGAGTGCGACGAAACCACGGGCGCGCGAGGAACGCAGGTCCTGCCCACTAAGGCCGCCCTGGCCGATGGGCCGACATGATCCCCCCCTGAATTGCACTCAGCACGAAACGCGACGCCCGCGTGTCTCCAATGACGCACGCACGGATCGCGGCAACTGCAGACACATCGGACGTCGTTGAAACATGGCCCGGAAACTCAAGGCACGCCGACTGCCGCGAAAACGCCACCCTGCGACGGGATAGCCCCCACGCAGACACCCCGAGTGCCCCAGGACTGTCCACTGTGCGGACCACAAGCCTCCTGCAGCCAGGCCCCTCGACTGTCCAGTGCAAGGGCCACGGGGGGACCTGCACCGCTGAACAACACTTAACAAACCCTTACCCCCGACCTGCCCCGCTACAGCTGCGTTCCGATCCCAGCTACATATTTACAGGCCCATGCGGCAGGTGATTCTCGTCGTGGTCGAAGAACCTCGGCCAACGTAGAGGGTTTGTGGAGGCCCTCCACTAGCGGACGTGACGTGAGTCCCTAGAATTCATTCAGGAGTCCTGGCTCCCCCAACTGACCTCCAAGGCGCACTCGCACGCAACCGCCACTGCGCGCAGGAAGGAAGCGAGAGTCCGCTTCGCCTTGGCAAGCTGAAAAGCGGATGGAAGGCAGTACGAACGCTAAGAGCCCGGACCGCGAAATTCTTGACATTCCAGGGCACTGCCAAGCGCCCAAGCCTCAGGGGCCCGAGACGGCCCAACAGCCCCCAAAGATCGCCCCACGATCGCTCAACAGGCCCAAAAGACCCCAAAGACGGCCCCAAGAGGGCCCCAAGACGGCACAAGAGGCGTGGAAGACGCCCATGATGGCCTCCATAATGGCCCTGGAGCACCCTACGAGGGCCCCAAGTCGGCCCACAGAGGCTCTCAACACGGATTCCGACGGCGTCAGACGCGACCTTTACCCCTACCTCTACCTCCTAAGAATAGGTATTCAAAGTCGAGCCAGGAACGCATCTATGCCTTCGATGGGCAATCCGCGGTTACGCCTACAACCTCCGCCGAGGCCCTTCCCTTTGCGGAAGAAGACGCGACGTGCAGCTCGCCTGAACCTCCTAACTGGTTTCTTCATATGTCGCCCCCGCCTTCTTGTGGCGCGATTTTAGCCTAGGTAAAGGTAGTGCGTAGCAGCATCATCACCGGCGGGTAGGTCTGACCAGTCGAAATTGTCGGCACCGGTAGAAGAAACCGCATCGGCTTCCATGCCGAAATGAAAGACGTCGTCATCTCGTTGACTTGGGGAGCCCCAGAAAGCGGCCGCGTTAGGTGGTGTATAACTGGCCGCCGACGGCCAGCCCGTGTTCGAGCCAGAAGCCTGTTCGTTGTTGTTGCCTTCTTGGCTTAGAAGCGTCGTAGACGCAGTGGGCTCTCCGTCATTCCAGATGCTCTTCGGCATGGCTGCCGGCGTGTCGCTTACTTCGGAGTGGTAAATGCCCGCGCTGCGCTCGCTGAAGATGCTCCCGACGCTCCTTGGGGAAAGCTCCGCCAAGTGTCAGTGGCTGCGCATTCATTCCAGGAGTTGGTCGCACTGTTGTTCGGCATGGGGCATCTGGTGGCTCAGCGGTTGCAGAAGGTACGCTGCTCGGGAGGTACCAACTCCCAAAGCGCGAAATATGATCAGGGTAAGGATCTGGACGTTGGGCATATTGA